TTTTGATTTGGTTCTCTCTGTGCTGTTGGGGTTCAGAGTCTTATTATTATCGTGGGATTGTGGAAGAACAAGTCTGGAGGGGAGAGTTTTGAGGCAATTCTATGTTTTTCTTTAAAAAAAGGAAAAAGTTAGTTAAAATCAGTGAGATGGGGTTCTCTATCACCGTATTCCAACCGAAATGCTCGCGTGCCCAATTAAGGATGGGTACCAATGTTTTTTTATTTTTTTTTAAATTTTAATTTGTGGTCGGTTTTCTTGTCTTCTCCCAACCTCATCTTCCTTATTCTCAAATTACTCTCTCTACTTTTTTTTTCTTTTCAAGTTAACTAAACTAAACCCACCTTAGGAACAACTTATGAATAAATCCAGCCAGCACCTATTTCTGTGCTAATCTTTAACATTTTTATTGTTTTATAAACTAGAAAAAAAGATATCGCTTCTTTTATATATCTCTCCTAAATACTTAAGTATGAATATGGATATAATGCTTCACTAGGCGGTGATGCCCCAGTAAAGAACACAAGATTGATTGGACATACATATTTAATATCAAAACGAGAGACCCTATAAAATTTTTCAGCTATAAAATAACCTATATGGTTTAAAAAAAGATTTAAATAAAATTCACGGTTATTTATACTTATATACCTATATACCAACAACATACATTTTTTCTTTTTTCCTTTTAATAATCTTGGTTATAAACTTATTTTCATAGTTAGCTGTTAGGATTGAAATAAAGCAAGAGTAAAAACAATCAAACCTTGAAAAATCAAGCTCGGATATCAAGTAGGTCCCCAAGAAATGTTGAGACAAAAGAAGCAGACCCGACCCAAGGACTAAGGACAAAATGGTGGACTGGCTGGTTGGCTCGGCCAAGCCATGGTCGGGCCAACCACAAAGCCTTGAAGTCGACTAGTATTGGTCGGCTCGGCTAGGCCTAATAGCCGACCAAGCTTGGTCAACTCGATCGAGCCTCAAGGCCAACAAACCTTGGTCGGTCCGATCGAACCCTATAGCCAGTGAGTCTTGGTCGGCTCGACCTAATGTGGTAGCCGATTAGTGTTGGTTAGCTCGGCTAGGCCTTGTGGCTGACCAGCCATGGTTGACTAGTTGGCTCGATCGGTTAAGCCATGAGGTCGCCTAGTCTCGTCCGACTCGACTCAACTAGGCAACAAGGCCAACCACTCTTTTGGTTGGCTCGATCGATAGCTTGATTAGGCATCCTCTAGCTAGTCATAGACAAATCGTAGGCTCAGTAGCTAGGGGCACGCCAAGATAGAAAATCCCAAGATCGACGAAATTTGAAATACCCTTTTCAATTCTTCTCATCTACTAAATTAAAAAAAAAAGTGAAGATTTCATATTGAATATTGGTTTCTTTCCTCTATAGATAAAGAGAGAAACTTTATAATCAAGGTATGGTACATACCTCTACTCTTTGATGCGATTCGCATAAATCTTCAATTCTTACTTAAGTATCGGACTCTGTGTGGCTAGCACCACACTGATGTATAATCTTTTTATTTTACAGGATTTATCGTTATTATAGAAGATTTGTGCAAATTTAGTAGTTTGAATGGGTTAATTTTTTTTTTTTGCATCAACGTTAATCTTGTTTTACTTTGAACAATTACACTATATATGTTTGGTGAAATACCCCGAAAGATTTAGAGGGTGAAAAGTAAACTCTTTACCACCAATAATCGGATATTTTTTTTTAAATAATGCTTTAATTCAAACTTATTTCAAATATATATCAACCTCAAACTATTTCCAAGAATAATGTTTGAAAAATTATAGGTCAAGAGACGACCTATGCCACTCCATAGTTTCGAGCTGCATGGCGCCATGTGTGTTTTATTTTTTATTATTTTAATTTTGACATGTCGTTTCTTCAACAAACGACATATGCCACAATTTTTCAAAATTACCAATTTGGTATAGTGGTGGTAAGCTTACTTTTTAATCCACAGATTCTGGGTTCAAAGTCTCCCTTATATTTATAACATTTTTTTTCTCTTTTAAACAAATTTAAATAAATGTTACCTTTTAAATACTTAGGTATGTTTTTTATTTTTAAAAGGGATTTAATCCAAGATTTCTTTTAGGGATTTTGTGACCAAACTCCATGAAAACATTACTTAGACTTCTGCTTTTTTATAACAAATATACCCAAGCATATACAATTAGTCCAAAAATCAAATCATAAGAAAATATGATTAAACTTACGGAACACAATCCACTTAACATTGAAAAAAAACTAAACTAAAAAAGAGGGAGATTTGTCGAAGGCCAACTGTCATAGGTCGCCAGGACAATAGGCCTGAATGTCAAGGTTCAGGCTAACGTGAGTCATCAAGAAGGAGTGGAGGTGCAGGCTGCCTTCCCGACAAGTTGTTGGAATGTAGAAGTGTTGCCCGTCTTTCGTTGTCTACAAATCTAGTTCGCTGCGCTCAATTTGCACCCTGTCGTCCGTGTCTTCGAAGAAGAATTTGGTGGAGATGCTGACTGGGTTGTTGGCCTACCAAGCACCTGCCCGTAACTCCAAGCGGGCTCCGCGCTCGTTATCCTTACTGTTCTCTTTTTTGGGACCCCAATGGCTCTAGTCATAAGCTATGACAGTTCTAGCTCGACCACATTTTTTTTACTGTAATACCTTGTTTTGATTGTATCGCACTATGTATCATTGATAACCCAATAAATCCATTATAGTATCACCAGTTCGATCATTCTTTTAGCTGCTTTGATCAGCTGACGGACCACTGTCGTACCATTCTTGAGTGAGAACAATAACAATACAAGTAGCGGAAGATCCAGTAGTAGTATATTCAGTTATTTGCCTTTTTTAGGAGGAGTTCAGTGTAGTCGGATGCTCGTCTTTCAAAGAACATGTCGTTGTGTCGGAGTAAAGGCGGATCTTGCCTCTAGAGGCACTGTCATGGCTAAGCTTGAGAGAGGGAGATTGAGATGATGATGAAGGAAAAGAGAGTGAGGTAAGGAAGAAGGGGTGACTGTGATGAGAGCAAGGTTCAAAATGTGGATGTCGGTGGAAATGTTGAGATCCCGATTTTACGAACATGTCGATGTTGACGGATATTTTGGAAAAATCACGGAAATTGTGGATATTGATGTAAATTGTTTGAATTAATAAAATAAAACTTAGCTTAATTAAGCTGTAATTGACAACTTTTAACCATCATATGTAAAAATATCAGTAACTTACCTATGGAAATGTCGACATCGATGAAAATGTCAAAACAAAATAATGAAGATTGATAGAAAAAATTTGAATTAGTAAATTCAAATT